CATTTTATAGAGTACTAGTAGTTGTCATAGTAACCGATTGTCCCACTTGTGTTGTGGATCTCTGCAGCTCCTCCAGAGTTACCATGGGCGTCTTGGCTGCTTTTTCAATAAATGCTTTCATTTATTGGTTTTCAGTTGTACCATACCCATTTTCTTTCCATTTCACAATTAGTTACTTTATGCTGGTCTATGATGTAAAATCCTAATGAAATACAGTTTGTGCCTATAATTTAATAAAATGTGAAGAAATTCAGGGGGTATAAAAATGTTTGCAAGGCACTGTAGGTTTGGGTGATTTTTGTCTTTCATACCTCTGTGATAGTTATGCGTCTGCTATTTTTCAGTTTTGATGTCCTCGTTTGAGCATTTTCCTTGAATCTTTTTGTGGATGAGGGCCACTTGACTCCACAGGTCCTTCAGTCTGCAAATCTTTTTCTCACTTTAAGAAATGGTGCTAACTGTTGTCAATGAGATGGTGAGGAAATGCCACAAAGCAGAACTTTCCTTTATACCCGACAGCTGCTGTCATGCACTGGAAAAACAGAACTCCTTTATGGTCAACATGGGGGAAATGTCTGGCAAAACAAATATTTTTCCGTTTTTTTTTTCAGTCTGCCTAGGAATACTCTTATTAGTTTTGTATTTGAGCTTCTGGTAACTAAATGCAGAAATGTCTATCAGAGTGCACAGGTACAAAAGATGTAGGAAAATTTCAGTTTTCTATATTATTAGCCTCACAGCATAATCATATTAGTCTTATTTTGGTAATTATGAGATTCCTAACAAGCATCAAAAAATAAGTCACCATTAGGAATGAATAATATATGTTAGGGTATAAAAATCCATCTGCACCAGTAACGCTTTTCCCACTTTTATATTTCTGTGCCCCATTTCTGTCATAATTATGCATTCTATCAACTTACCTTTTGCATCTAGAAGTGGATGTAGAATCCTACATGACAGCCAATCAGGGACCATGCGTCAAGTGGAGATGAGACACTTTACGTCCCAGAACTGCTTCACCACGCAGCCAATAAAAATGAAGCTAATGCGAAACTGAAGACACTCGTCTCTAGATGTCATTCATAAATGAAACTTTTATTTATGAAACATTTCCATAAGAATACAGCATTCACATTCATTGGTATACTAGCATTAAAGGCATGGTAAAGTTGCACAGAGTTGGCTTTTTTTTTTTCCATTTTTTTTTTTTAATAGTACCTCAAAATGTACATAACTCTATGGCAAAGTTTCTACAAAAAATATCAGCAAAGTTATTGCGAATTCCTGCCATATTTCTTAACTGTACAGTGTCACAAATGCTATATGCAGAAATGTTTGAATTCCTGTTTATCATGTTTTTTCTAACATTATTGCAGTTTAATTCCAACAATCAGTGACACAACCGAATCCAAACAAATGCATTAAAAAAATGAAGAAAACGGCAAACTTTAGCATCTTTAATTCAAGAGTTGACAAAATCTGTAGCCAAGAGTTCAAGCCTTAACCCCAAAACATCTCAGCCAAGATAATAATCCTAAAAATAACTTAAAACAGCAGTAATAAACATCAGAACCTGTACAGTTAAAAAAATAATTCAAATATATAGGCAAACAGTGTACTTTAGTGCACGAAATACAGCAAAAAGGCTTAGTTGTGTATATCAGTTTGCAGTTTTTATATTTGGGCCAAATGTTTGACCTGTGCAGCTCATAAGTTCTATGGTCACCTAAATTAAATTTGCCCCTGTGATCTAAAGCGTTTGGTTACATTACAGTAAATGTATCAGGCAATATGAACTCATGTGGAAACCTCCTGTCTGAATAATTACAACGCCTGCATAGGAAACTTGATTCTTTCTCCGTACCCTGTCACTATGTATACACTGTGGAGCTCACCCTCTCTGTCAGCACTTCTCTGTAACTGACAGTCGAGGACATTCTCCCCATTTTTTTCTTAAAGAAAAGGTCAAAAATCAAATCAAACCTGCCAATCAGCCTGAGATGTGGAGAGGAGGGGAATGTATCAAGTCTTTTAGATGATATGCGGGGGGAAAAAAGGCAAAGCTGAGAAAGTCGAAGCGCTTGCACACAACATCAGTGCTTGGTGGATTTGTTGCAGTCATCAATGGGGCAGAAATTGTCTTGCCTCACCACTTCAGGAGGAAAAACCTGGTCTGGCAGCCAAGAGATCATTTACACCTCACCTGCTGTGGTGGCGTGTCAGACTTAGAGACTTCTGAGTTCAAGCAAAGCTTCACACCCATCCTGGCAGTAACTGCTTTTAGCCACAGGGGTTCCCCCACTTAATATCGTGGGGCTATGGACACCCCCCTCATCTTTATGACCACTTATCTGTGGCTCAGTTTTTTGCTATTCTGTCCATGTTGGACTCTAGGTAGACATGGTATTTCCAGAGTCTGTGGCACAGCTTTCAGCTCGGTCAAAGAAACAGTCTTCGTTCACTACAGATGTCAGGCTTTGGACGCTGAACTCTCTTTCCAGCAGAGTGTTGAGGTCTACAACACCACATGGTGATGCTGGATCAGTCTGACCATCCAATGGCCTGTTCTGCTGCTTCATGTGCAACAGTGCCCCCTGGTTCTTCCTCAGACTGTAGTTTTTTCTCCTAACACCACTTTGTCTTTGCACTAGCTTGTGTTTGATCTCAGGAGTGTCCCCGATTCCCTCCGGTTGTACACAAGGTGCCAGAGTGCATTTTGACACAGCATCTTCCGACAGCTTGAGATGGAGGAACTGAGCTTCGATGGCACTTGCTGGGGAACTGCTGTCCCCACTGTCCCTTCTTGTGCCCCCTTCGCTAAATCCATCGTCATCCTCATCACTTAAAATGTCTGACTCCTTCACGGAGGTGGAGCGAGGTTGTGAGTCAGACTTTTGAGCCTGAGACCAGTTTTGGGGAACAGTGGAGGACTGAGCGTCAGAAGAGGTGCAAACTGGAGAAGTCCCAGAAAAACTGTAGGTTCCGCTGCTTAGGCTTCCATCATCTGAGTCTGGCCCCAACTTAGGATTCCCAGCCTGGAAGGAGACTTCAAGTGGCTGCTTACACAACCAGGAAGCCCTAGAGGATCCTGATAACAAAAAAAAAAGGTAAAGAAGGTAATTAGTGGCAGTCTTATCGGAACAAAAACACTTAATGAAACGTACAATTTGTGACCTTAAAGCAAGATAAAATCTCCAGTAAAGTCCATAATGTTAAGCAAGTTACTTTTAAAGATATTTTTTCGGCACTAGTGGCCTTTATTTATTTATTTTTTGACAGTAGGCAGACAGGAAAGAGGGGTAGAGAGAGGAGACATACAGCAAATGTCGCCAGGTCCGGGACTCGAACCCGGGACAGCTGCTTCGAGGACTGTAGCCTCTGCATACGGTCACGCGCTTAACCCCTATACCATCAGCGCCACGCCCCAAACAAGTGACTTTTAAATGGGCTTTCAGTTCTGGCCAACATTCATTGGATGTGAACTTTACTCCAGATCTCCCCAAATCACCTCTAAGGGGCCCATGGCGGTGTCCCAAGGTCTTAAAAACAAAGGGAATGTTACCTTATTAGTTGTTATACTAAAAAGGATTTTGTCAGAATGCCCATCAGTACATGTTACAGTTGTCCCTATATGAATAAGCTCATTTCTGCTTATTTAGAATTCCAGAATGATTTTAAGTAACTTTGGATTAGTGATAATTTGGACGGTCAATCTCAGAATGTGAAATCTGTGTAGATCTGTAGAAGTATTCTTTCTGCTGCCTTAAGGAAAGACGTTTAAAATGAACAGATGGTATGAAGGTCGACCAGCAGCAAAGATACGTTAGACTTATGTCCCCAAGTCTGCATCTGATAACCTGGTCCAGGTTTGACTGATGTTAGAAATTCATTTGTCCACACCGAAGGTTTTGCCTAATAACAGGAGAACTTTCTTTAAATGTGGAAGTTTACATGTATGATAAACCTAGACTTGTGCATACTATCAGAATAGTTTGTTTTTTTAAACTGCATGACTTGGGTCGAACATTTTAGAAATCCTTCAAGCTTCTTGCAATAGTTTGCTGGAATTTTGGCCAATTTCTTCTGACATGACTTGTGTAACCAGGTCTGGTTTGAAGGCACATTTCTATAGGACTATCATCATCAAGGCTTTGCGATGGCCACTCCAAAACATTGACTTTGCTGGCCTTGAGTCACTTTGTAATTAATTTGGCAGTATAGTCAGGGTCATTGTTCATTTGGAAGACCTGTTTATGGCCAAGCTTTAACTTCCTATCTAATGCCTTGAGAAGTTGCTTCAATAATTAAACAATGTTCTTTCTTCATAATGCCATCTGTTTTGTGCATCAGTCCCTCCTGCAGTTAAATACCTCCACAACATGATGCTGCCACCCCCGTGTTTAACACTTAGGATGCAGTTTTCAGGGTTGCAAGCTGCTCCCTTCCTTCTCTAAAATGTAATGATGGCCAAACACATCGATTTTAGTTACATCAGACCACAGGACAGGTCTCCAACACCCAAGGTATGAGTGCATTTGCAAACTAAAGTTAGGCTATTTATGTTGATTTTGGAGTGAAGGCATTGTAAAATTAGTGTATACATTTCTGACTTTAAAGAGACATTAAAAAACAATTGGTAATCCAAACTAACCTAAAATAGGAAAAGGTTCTGAAGACTGAAAAAAAATTGTCCTCCTCAAATTTCACCATTCCTAGTCATACAAATCTCTACTTTATTTAGTAGTTTGCCAGTCAGTCATTTTCTACCGCTTATTCCATAGTGGGTCACGGGGGAGCTGGTGCCTATCTCCAGCAGTCTATGGGCGAGAGGCGGGGTAAACCCTGGACAGGTCGCCAGTCCATCACAGGGCAACACACAAACAACCAAGCACACACTCATTCACACACCTAAGGGCAATTTAGAGAGACCAGTTAACCTAACAGGCATGTCTTTGGACTGTGGGACCCACGCATGCACGGGAGAACATGCAAACTCCATGCAGAAAGACCTCCGGGCGGGAATCGAACCCAGGACCTTGCAGCAACAAGGCAACAGTGCTACCAACTGCGCCACCGTGCAGCCCTCCACCATGCACCCCTGTGTGTCGTTTATATTTATTCAATTAATAATGAATACATTTTAGTTAATAGTAAAACAGATTTGTGATTTTAGACATTGGCTCTCAATCTTTTCAAAGTTTCTTAGAATTTGAATCCTAAGGAAATGTAGTAAAGGGTAATTTCCCTCTGCTACAAAATGGATTCTGAATTCAATATATATTTAAATAAAACTTTAAATAGACTGCAAGCTAACCTAGTTTGGCGGTGGAAGGCAACGTTTTGTGCAGAGGCACCAAGTGCTCCTTGCAGCCCCTCTCCAATGTTCCCTCGCTCCTCATGTTCCTCCTGATGTTCTCCCTCAGAATGGAGCGGATGACCTTGATGATGTTGACCTTGTTCTCCGGCACACTGAGGAAAGAACAGATGAAAGAGGCCAGGTTGGCACGATAAAACTTGATTTCAGAAACTAGATACAGAAGATGAGGATATGTGTGAGGCTTTGATTTGATTCATTAGAAGTAATTTCAATTTCGCAGTGTGTAATGAGAATAACCAGTGTGGTCACGGCCTTCTGTCACCACTGTGCCTGTGAAAATAATCTATTAAATGCTAAGACTACAACAGAAATGGCAGATGGTCTTCTGTAAAGCCTCTGCAGAACAGCAAAGGGCTTTCAAAGTGTTAAACAAAAAAACTTTGTGAAAGTTGATGTTTTACTGAGAGAGCTGGGTGGAAAATAATCAGGTTACAGACTTCTACATTTTCTCTAACTTAATGAGGACATTTCAGTTTGTGATCTGTACATTAAAGCTGTTGGTCGTAACGTTTAATTGTTAAAATAATTTAAGAAATGCTCAAATTTGACTGACTGTTCTATGATGTAAAGTAGGTAATCTATGTTTAGCCGTAGTGGCCTCAGCCTGGCCCCTACAGCTAAACAAATCCGAGACACAGGCCTACGACTCTGACTAATCGACAAGCATACGCACCAACGTGCGTGAAACGGTCGACGCGCCTCAGTCAGCCAAGAGGTACGTAATAGAGCAACCAAAACAAGGACCGAAGTTACCAATTCCTCGACTACTTTACACCTCTTAAAGAAAGAGCTAGAGTCCTTCTACAAAACTTGTTGTAAGACGTTTACAACTTTTTAGTAGAATTTACATAAGAAATGCTTTTTAAAAGATGGAGGATCTACAAGGGCTCAAAACTTAATGGTTTCCTTTGAACATGTAAAAACTAAGTCATTTTATAGTTTTTTGTGAGTTATAATTTTTTTAAACACAAATAGTGCTAGCTTGAATGCTCACCAGACATACATTACATGTAATGTCAGTCTGTAGTTTGAACATCAAGTTAATTGTAGAAGAGGGAGGGAGGGGAACGATAGGAGCCTAAATTTCGGACTATAAGTCGCTACTTTTTTCCCACACTTTGAACACTGCGGCCTATACAACGGTGCGGCTAATGCATGTTTTTTTTCATGCCGCCAAAAACATTTTGCCTGGTAACAGTAGACCAATCAAATTGA